TCCTTCCATTTTCTGATATCTTCTTCAATTTCTTTCTTTAGAGATTTAAAGTTCTTATCAAAAAGGTCCTTCACTTGTTTAGTTAGTGTTATCCCAAGGTATTTTATATTATTTGTGGCTATTGTAAAAGTTGATGTTTCTCTGACTTCTTTCTCAGCCCTTTTATCATTTGTGTATAGGAGGGCTACTGATTTTTTTGAGTGTAACCTCCATCTTTCAAGATAAGGTATGGTAAAAAAAATTATGAATAAGTACATCTCTAACTCAGTCCCATCTCTAACTCTCTCCTATCTCTGATGAAGTCACCTGTGCTTTACCTGGCTTCAAATTCAGTCATTCTTGGTTATATGACAGATGACAGTTCACAGATGAGATCCCAAATGACATAGGAGACAAACTTCTGCTAATGTCCTTTGGGGAAATTTAGTAATAGACTGTTGAGGAAAGAATATACTCTATAAAGGTGTATAACTCTAACCTTTGGAGGTTTAACTTGACAGTATAAGTACTGCTGACTGGAAACGTTCATTGTTTTCTCCATTGGGACTGTGTATGCTGTGTTTCCAGGACCAATATCCTATGAAGGGAATCATTCCATCCTGGATGGGGCCTCATTATCTCCTGGGAAGGATGCATGTGACAGGCCTTGGGGATTTTCCAGTACATACAAGATTCACATTGAGGACCTACTGGAGGCACTATAAACAGGAAGGACTGTAAAGGAGGAGACCAATCATCAGTGGAGCTGCCTGCAAGTCATACACTGAGCTGTAGGCATTCAGGTAACCTGAGTTCAGATTTTTAGTACTGCTGGTGCCCGTGTATATGAGTTTTCCCTGTTTCTGTTCTAATCCCTCAATTATTGTCTTGTTGGCAACCAGAATAAATTCACTGATTCTTGAAAATATGGACTTCAGTGAAATCTTTGCAGTGGTTTTCATTAGAGCCTGATCTGACATGAGTACACATTCTGTCTCTTCTCCATTAGAAAATCACAGAATCTAGTGTCTTTTTAATTTTTATGAGACAATACATTCATAATCTGTGGCTCATTGTTTCATTGTGCAAAGTCCTCTGCTGGAGAGCACAGTATCAGGTGGGCAGGCATGGTCCTGGAGTAGTAGCAGAGAGCTTACATATTTATCCACAATAGGAGGTAGATGAAGGTAACCGGGAGTAGCTCACTAATTTCTATATGAAAAGTCCAGTCCCAAAGACACAGCTCTTAAGACAAGGCCACACCTCCTAATCCTTCCCAAACAGTTCCTACAAAGTGGTGCCCAAGCCTTCCATTGTATGAGCCTATAGGTGCCATTCTCGTTCTAAGACCACAGTGACTTTAAATTTATAGACTACATGAAATCTGCTGTGATTGTCAGAGAGATTAAAGTCAATATTGGCAATCCAGGTACTTTGAGCCAACAATAAATATGCTTTGAGCCAAGACCATCTCCATGGAAATCTCTAACTTGTGAAAGTGAAATTTCATTTGAATCATGAGAGATCATTGTAGAGGTTCATGTCAAAACTACACTTCTAGGAACCTTTGTCTAGTGCCAGAACGCAGAGACAAAGGAAACCTTGCTATGGGTTCTGGCCATATCCCAAGATTGAAGCAGAATTGTCCATATTGTACTACCTCTGTAGACACTGAGGTGCAACATGTATGTCAACATGGACCTTTGCAGCAGAGTTAAAGAGAACTGATTCACAATGAAACATGGAGATGATAGCTAAGTTGTATTGGAAACCCGTCCTATACTCATGATAGAAACATATCAAAGTCTAGACAAAGGCTATCTGTTATTAAGAGTACAGAGATAGAAAGTTTGAGTTGACACAATTCTTTGGAGTCCACATAACTTCAATCAGGATCCTCAGATGCAATGTACATGATGTAGCAAGATGTGTCACTGCATTTCTGTCTCACTTATTCTCACATTTCCTTGTTAGATGATGATTCCTCCATCAGGAATGTCAAGTGACCACTGTCCCAAGGCATGTTGAAGCCATAATCTTGTAAACCCTGTGGGATAAGCAGTTGTTTGAATTACAGAGTCAAGAGACTTTGGAATTTGACTGCCTTCTGACAATTAGAGTCTAAACGGACATAGAGGACATGATTGCCTCTCCTAGTAAGAGGTGAAAGTGAAACTCTCAGAGGCTGCCAGGCTAGAGGTTATGGTGTATAGTAGGGTATTTGATTGTAAAATTACAATAAGATTATTTGATATGTTTGTATTTTAGAAATAATAAGTTTTGTGTCCTGATTTTGAGAAACTGAGGTAAATTCAAAGCAGAAGTCACGAATTTCAAAATACTGTCACATAGGAATCCTTTCAGCATCAGAGAAGAGGACATTGCACACAGCAGATGAAATCTCTGCAGAGGGAATTCCATCAATGGATAAAGGTGAGGTTTCATTACACCCATGTTTGAGCCAGGAACTGTGTCCCTCCACTTTGGAGAGGAGCAGGTTGTAACATGAGCTCACAGCACACCTGGAGACAAATACACACCTTTTAGGTCACTTGACACTTGAGAGAGATTCAGCAAAGCCTTGTGACCTCATGAGTATGTGAGATAACTGACTACATACCAGGTATGGTTCAGTGATGGGAGCCATTATCAAGATGACATGATGAATAATGCATTTCAGAAAGGATCAACTGTGCCAAAATTAAAAGGACACTAGCTCTTGGGATTGGCAAATATTCTGTAAGTGTGAACAGGATTTGGTTCCATGTGAACCTAAGAGATTATAGTAAGAGGGAGGAGGCACATTCTGAGTGATCAGAACAACTGAAAGAGTGATCAGTGTCACTCTGAGTACACTGGGAGTGAGAACAAATCAATAAACACATGGACTTGAACCACACCTACTTAATTATATCACACACTGAAGAGGGATCATTGTCATGTGACCCATATCTGTCCTTACATTTGTGATAGGCTGGTCTCTTATGTATGGCTAAGAAAATGACTATTTGTCTTACACAAAATAGATTCTGACAGTATTTTATAGGACTATAGGTCAACTTACAACCTTATGTTAAGATTAATACATCTACAAGTCCCCAAACTGAGAAAATTTCCACAGGAATTGACTGATATTGCAGAAAGTGGGAAACTATACTGAGTCTACTGAACAATGTATTTCTATGTAACAGGATGAACAATATATAGAGTGAAGACAGAAACTGAGACTGCAAACAAGATGGAGGGGTGATATGGAAAATTGTTTGTCCCATAGGCACTAAGACATGGTTGATGAAGAGCAGAATCCATGTACGTGGAAGAAGTTTATGGGGCTGAGAAATGTTCAAGTAAGCATAACTGGAATCAGGACAAGATGGACGAACTGAATCCCAAGCATTCTATTGTATGAACTATAGGTGCCTTTCTCATTCTAAAGCCCAGTGACTTTAAAGTTATAGACCAAGTGAAATCAGCTGTAATTGTCAGGGAGATTAACTCCAATATAGACAAACCTGGCACTTTGTACTGACCACACCTAAATGTGCTCTGAACCAAGAGCACATCCGTGGAAGTCTCTGTCTGGTGAAAGTGCAGTTTCATTTGCAAGGTGAAGACCACTGCAGGAGCTCAGACTCAAAACTGTACTTCTAGGAAAGTTTCTCCAGGGTCAGCACCCAAAGTAGAAGGAAACTGTGCGATGGGGCTGGACACTGTCCCAAGATAGCAGAACATGACAGCACTGTCTACATTGTACTAGATGTGTAGACAGGAAGTGCACCCTGGAGGTCACCATGACTCTCTGCAGCACTATTAAAGAGATCAGCCTCACCATATAACTGGTCAGATGTTCAGTGTCCCTCCTAACTGTCCCTGTGAGGTCACACTTCATGGACCATGGTGATCGCTAAGTGGAATTGGAACCCCACCATATACTCCTGACTCAACTATAGGAAACTGGACTGTTTAGATAGTTTGAGCTATCTGTGCTTCAGTCATGAGTGAATGACCCAGGACCAGTGACCCTTCACTAGGGAGGTAAGCATGAGATTCTAGCACACAGGTGGTAAATATGGAACTGAGTTTGTGAAAAAACCATGGAGACATTTGTAAAATTCTAGTAGGGCTCTCACAAAAACTAAATGGCTTACAGAGATTACTAGTTGAAAGTTTTCAAGGGAAAGAAGTATGGGTGGAAAACTCCTGAGATGGATTATGGGAGATCTTTGCAAGTAAGATCAGAGAGTTGGACATTTAACTTTGTTCAGAGATTATACTATCTCTGTATTCCTCATCAATACACTGTAGGGATTCCAATGTTCTCACAAAACTGTTTTAAAAGCTGTGGAGTCAGACCCATGTATGGCTCACACAGAGTGTCAGTACAGAGGAACAGGATTTTTATTTATTTATTTGTTTATTTATTTATTTATTATTTACTTATTCATAGGACAGCATATTCAGACAAAGCCCACATTATACTCAACTGCTTTCACACGTGTTTGTTTCATTTTGTTTTGACTTTCCCTTATTGCTTAGATACAAGGTCTCTTTAAATTTCCCAGTCCAGACGATCACCTCTGGTCCATTTGTCAAGGAAACCGCAGAGCATCTAAGAGCAAGGATTGACAGATGACGGCTGGTTTCAAAATCATCTTTAAAAGGCACTTCTCATTCCCACATTAGTGGAATGCTTCATTAGTTTAAAGTAAAACAGAGTCAACGTGATTATTTTTAAACGCTGTAGTAAGATTCAAATCATAACATATGGGCCATGACTTTACAGGGCTAATATTCCTGTCAAAGGCTCGACTCACACTCATGTTTCTTATGTTGTGGATCTGGAGGTGAACACCAGGCTCCTGCCCCAGGGATGTCCTGCTGACTCAGCTTCTTCCTCCAATACTCTCCTGCAGGCACCCAGACTGGAATCCACAGCAGGAGAAAAGGCCATACCTGGGATCCCACAATTCTTTCGCACAGACTTCTGGGAAATGTAGTCTGCGGCACTGTGACGTCACGGCGAGCCATCCTAAATTCCCTCCTGGCTTTCAGTCCACGTGTGTGCAACTTCCTCAAAGTTGGGCGAGAGTCCTGTCTGCTCTACATTCCTGTTGCGTCTCAGACATGGAGGTTGGTCCAGGGTGCAGCGCAGCCTGAGGCACTGTGCTGAGTGCAGGGATCGGTCGTGGAGGGAATGGACCTGGGTTTGGAGAGAGAGAGCGCGGAAGAGGCTGCCTTGTAGGTGCTGTGCTGAACTGGCTGGGACACGTGAGGTTGCAGGTCAGGGATGGGGAGAGGGCGATAGAGACTGCTCCCTAAGTGATTTCCGTAAGTTGCTGCTTGCCACCCGAGTTCCCCTTTGGCTTCTGGGACAGGAGAGCTGCCTGGTAGCGCGGAGTAGTTGATAGTGCAGAGTCCAAGATTGCAAACTAATGATGGTCTGCTGCCTACGTGCTCCTGAGGGGGAGCTGGGAGCTCAGTGAGCAGCTTTGTTAGGGAAGCATGCTTCTGTAGCTGAGTCATTCTCACATGGACGCGGTCAGATTCTCAATATTTGTAGTGCAATTTGTAGGGTTTCTGGTCCTTCCTGAACTCTGCAGCCATCCTAATGTAAGGTCTTGAGGTCATGAATGGGATCTCTTCCAGTTAGAGAATTAAGAGAGAAAAATTTTGAAGTGAAACAAAGGTCACAGGTGGGAAATTGGGAGCCCGTCAACATATCTGCCAGAATCCGCTTCAATAGAAAAGCCTTGCCTAGGGTGAAAGAACACACATACACCCCACACACAGAGGGACCCTCTGCAGGAAGAATGGGAACTGGAGAAGCTGACTCCAGGCTTCACTTAAGGACTGTGTTTTCTTAACTTTGAAAGGTCTTCCATCCCTTCTGTCGGGTGGACCACAGTGGTTGTGTCAACATATTTTGATTTTGTCTAGGAAGTGTTGAGCTAGTCCATAAGCAGGGTGTCTAGGAACAGGTGAAAAACGTTCATGGACTTGTGTTCCAGTGCCAGGCTTTTGTGTCAGGTCAGTAGGGTGAGGAAGAGCTCACAGACTGTGTTTATTTACCTGATTTAAAGTAAACAGACCTATGATAGAAAAGAAACTTCAGTCTACTGTGTTGCACATCCTTGTCATCTCGACATTTGTGAAGGGAGACAGGACCCTCTGGTCCTCCCCTGCTTCATAGCAAATTCAAGGGTGCCTGGGATACCTGAGTCTGTGTCTGAAAACATTAAACTTCATGGTCATGAGAAATACTTTCTGTGTTCATTTCATGTTTCTTACAGTGAGCGCCATGACAAATCCATGCAATCAGCACATTGCTCACGTAAGAACTATTTGTGGTTAACTTCTGTTGACATGTTTCACGTGTAATTTAATGTTTTTTCACTAACATACTGTTTTTATTGAAGGCATTAACTTTTGGAGTCTAGGTAATTGTTTGTATTTACTCTGTGAAGAGGAATTCTAATGCTTTGCTTAAATATTCCTGTTTGTAGTGATTGTTCATCCTTTTTAGATATTAATCTGTGTTTGTTACTGTCATGACCTGATGCTGATTTCTTCTCGTTTTATTTATTTCTTACAGGTTGCTCCTTTCATGTCCAATCTGAGACTCCATTATATCTTCACTTCCATTCTGTAGTTCATGACTGATGTGGCTACTGTGGTTACATTCCTGGGTCTTTTTCTACAGCTGCAGCTGGGATGCCTTCCCCTGACCTTACACCAGAGGTTCCAGTGAGTGTATTTTAAGCACTATGTCCTTTGATCAGGACATAGGCTGCTCTGAATGGAAGGTCACTGCTGTTAGGAACCTGATCAGAATCCAGTCCTCCCTTTGCATCTGGCCTTCCCACCAATCTTCAGTGTTGTCTGGTTCTCTGAAAAGGTGTCTCTGAGGGATACTGACAGGAGATGAATGCGTTTTTAATGTATCTACTCTGTCCATTCTGTTGTTCTGGGCTTGCCTCTAGGACCAGTCTCTATTCTCTTTATATTATATATATTTACATTAATATATTATTGCTGTTAATATCTTAATATTGTTAATGGTTTTAATTAAATGAAAGTGCAGTATCATTCATTGATCTTTATTTCAGGAAATGCTGTCCTTCTCGGATGTGGCCATTGAGTTCTCTGCAGAAGAGAGGGAATGCCTGGAGCCTGCTCAGTGGAATTTGTACAGGGATGTGATGTTGGAGAATTACAGCCACCTTGTGTTCCTTGGTGAGGATCTCATCCATAGTGAATTCTTATTTCACCATCAACATGTAGCTTCCTCACTTTGTATGGTATCTCATGGGAACATTTCATCAGCCATTTTCATATCCTTTGTTTTCAGAAAAATCAGGGAGATTGCTGTATTAAAAATGATTTCAGGACTGGTGAGATGGTTCAGTTGTTAATAGCATTGACTGCTCTTCTAGAGGATCGGGGTTCATTCCCCAACACCTATGTGGCAACTCACAACTGTCTGTAATCCCACGGTCTGACACTCTCATGTTGATTGTGTTCTGACAAATAAAGCTTGCTTGGAGTCAGAGGGTGATGCTAGCCATTAGCTGACCACAGAGCTTCAGAGGCTTGTAGAAAGATGGACCGGAAGTGGTAAGTCAGGGCTGAGACAGGATCCAGGATCCAAAGATGTAGGAAGTCACTATGTCTGTTCCCCTGCATCTCTGATCATTCAGGTTTTTCACCCCAATGCCTGACTCTAATTTTTTTATATGTAAAGATTAATTTGATTAACATTTCATCCTCACACAGACATCCCTACAAGTAAAGCACCAATGCACATGTAAAATTAAAATAACATATTCATAAAGAACCATTTCACTGTTTTTTCTCTTTGTGTTTTACATTTCTGTGTTAGGTGTATTTTTCCTCCACACCAGTGGGACTCTCAGAAATTCAATGGCATGAGACCTCAAGTACATTTGTTAAATTGTTTCAAAATTCAGGGTTTGTTTGGTTGGTTTTGTTTGGTCTTTGTTGTTGTTTTTTTGTATTTTTGGCCTCCCCTTTGTAACTCTGGACAGTCCAGGCTGACAGAGATGAGTGCTTCCATGTAGGTCAACTTGATCTCCCTCTCTGCCTTTTGGTTAGTCTGATTAAGGGCTTGTCTATCTTGTTGATTTTCTCCAAGAACCAACTCTTTGTTTCATTGATTCTTTGTATTGTTCTTTTTGTTTCTATATTATTGATTTCAGCTCTCAATTTGATTATTTCCTGGCATCTCTTCCTTCCTGGAGGAAGACTTTGCTTCTTCTTGTTCTAGAGCTTTCAGATGTGCTATTAAGTCCTTAGTGTGAGATTTCTCCAACTTCTTCATGTGGGCATTTAGTGCTATGAATTTTCCTCTTAGCACTGCTTTCATAGTGTCCCATCAGTTTGGGTATGTAATATATTCATTTTCATTGACCTCTAGGAAGTCTTTAATTTCTCTCTTTATTTCTTCCTGGACCCATTGGTGATTCAGATGAGCATTATTCAGTTTCCATGAGATTGTAGGCTTTCTGTAATTCTTGTTGTTGTTGAAATCTAGCTTTAAGCCATGGTGGTCTGATAGAACACAGGAGGTTATTCCAATTTCTTTTGTATGTGTTGAGATTTGCTTTGTGACCAAGTAAGTATGTGTTCGATTTTAGGGAAGGATCCATGGGTTGCTGAGAAGAAGGTATATTCTTTTTTGTTCGGGTAGAATGTTCTGTAGATATCATTAACTCCATTTGAGTCATAACATCAGTTAAGTCCCTTATTTCTGTGTTAAGTTTCAATTTGTCAGATCTGTCCAGTGGTGAGAGTGGGGTGTTGAAGTCTCCCACTATTAATGTGTCGGGTTTAAAATTGTGATTTAAGCTTTAGTAATGTTACTTTTACATATGTGGATGCCCTTGTGTTTGGGGCATAAATGTTCAAAATTGAAACTTCAATCTTGTTGGATCTTTCCTGTGATGAATATGTAATGTCCTTCTTGATCTCTTTTGATTGATTTTAGTTTGAAATCTATTTTGTTGGATATTAGGATAGCTCTACCAGCTAGCTTCTTAAGACCATTTGATTGGAAAGACTTTTCCCAGCCTTTTATTCTGAAGTAGTGTCTATCTTTGTAATTGAGGTGTGTTTCTTGTATGCAGCAGAAAGAAAGATGGGTCCTGTTTTCATATCCATTCTGTTACCCTGTGTCTTTTTATAGGTGAATTAAGTCCATTGATATTAAGGGTTATTATTGACCTGTGATGTTAGTTCTTGTAATATTTTTGTGGTTGTGTGTGTGTATTTATCTTCTTTGGAATTTACTGCTGTGTGGTTATCTATTGCCTTCATTTTTGTGGGTGTATCTGACTTACTTTGGTTGGAATTTTCATTCTAGTGCATTCTGTAGGGCTGGATTTGTGGATAAGATTGTTTAAATCTGGCTTGGTCTTGGAATGTCTTGTTCACACTGTCTATAGTGGTTGAAAATGTTGCTAGGTATATTAGTCTAGGCTGACATCCATGGTCTCTTACTGTCTGCATTACATCTGTCCAGGACCTTCTGGCTTTCAAAGTCTTCATTGAGAAATCTGGTGTTATATTGATGGGTCTGCCTTTATAAGTCCCTTGGCCTTTTTGTTTGCTGCTCTTAATATTCTTTCATTATTCTTTAGGTTTAGTTTAATTATTATATTGTGAGGGGACTTTTTGGGGGATCTAGTCTGTTTGGTGTTCTATGGGTTTCTTGTGTCTTCATAGGCATTTTTTTCTTTAAGTTGGGAAAGTTTTATTCTATGATCTTGTTGAATATATTTTCTATGCCTTTGAGTTGGTATTCTTCTCCTTCTTCCATCTCTATTATTTGTAGGTTTGGCCTTTTCATGGTGTCCCAGATTTTCTGGATGTTTTGTGTGATGACTTTTTTGGCTTTGGTATTTTCTTTGACTGATGAATCCATTTTCTCTATTGTATCCTCTACACCAGAGATCCTCTCTTCCATCTCTTGTTGGTTATGCTTGTATCTGTGTTTCCTGTTCATTTACTCAGAGTTTCTATATCCAGCATTTTCTCTCTTTGTGTCTTCTTCATTGATTCTGTTTCCCATTTCAGGTCTTGAACTGTATTCCTCACATGTTTAATTGCTTTTTCATGGATTTCTTGGCTTTCTTTAAGGGATTTATTGATTTCTTTCAATTTTTTTTCTTTCCTTTTTTTTTTTTTTGGTTTTTCGAGACAGGGTTTCTCTGTATAGCTTTGCGCCTTTCCTGGAACTTGGTTTGTAGACCAGGCTGGCCTTGAACTCACAGAGATTCCCCCTGCCTCGGCCTCCTGAGTGCTGGGATTAAAGGCGTGGGCCACCACTGCCCAGCTCAATTTTTTATTTATCTTTTCCTCTATTTCATTATTGATTTTTTCCAATTTTTTGTTTGTCTTTTCCTCCATTTCATTTTTGATTTTTTTCTTGAAAGGCCTCTAGCATCTTCATGATGCTATTCTTAAGGTCACTTTCTTCTGCTTCTTCTACATTGTGATGTTCAGGTCTTGCTGTTGGAGGAGGGCTAGGTTCTGGTGATGCCGTATTGCTCTTTATGTTGTTGTATGTATTTTTGCCTTGATGTCTGCCCATCTCCTCTGTTGTTCCAATGAGAGCTGGCAGTTTGTTTCTATGCCTCAGGAAGTTGTTGGGGTCTCAGGCGGATGGGTATGGGGGCATGGCATGTAGATTGCAGGATACAGTGGGGGAGTTTTGGTGAGCTGGTTCTTCTGGTAGGAGTTTTGCCTGCTGTCTGGCAACAGGGACAGATTTGGGTGATGGTAACCCGGGGACTGGTTGTGTCCCTGGGATGGGTCCTAGGGGCCTGACAATCAGTTTTACTGATTTTTTTTCTTACCATTAAATGAAACTCAGAATCTGGTTATTGTAAATTCCTTTATGTAGTGTAGTGATTCTGTCAGCAAACATTTAAGGAACTGATTGTCTGCAATCATTTATTTCATCATCTCTTTCCTTATAAGCCGTTGTACTGGAAGGCTCATGTCAATTCCAAGTAAAAGAACACATAAACAATCTTGTTCCTTCTTTTTCTGCAAACAGGTCTTGCTGTGTCTAAGCCACACCTGGTGACACTTTTGGAGCAAAGACAAGACTCTTCAGATGTGAATAGACAAGCAGCAGCCAACGTGCAGCCAGGTGTGTAGGAATGAGGGGTTTGGGGCCATGGTTGAGGTCCAAATATCCCCCAGAGAGGCAGGCTTTCCCATCACCCTGGTACATGACACTGGGAGTCATTCTTTGGGTCTGTCCTTCATGTCTTTGTTGTTGAAGCTCATCTCTCAGAAGCTTTACATTTCCCCAAGAATAACTCACTAGCCGGCTCCTATTGCAGTGCCTTCCAAGATTTGTCTCTTTGTTGATTCTCCATTGTGGTGTAAGACTCAGGGAAAGAGAACTCAGTGCTGGTCAGACTAGGAGTCATTTAGTTTTAGAATTTGAGAGCAGACTCTAGCGAAAGATCTCAATACCAAAGTGAGCATGATGTTTTGAGTTATGATTTTCTTGACTGAAGTGCTTTCATTGACTGACCGATCTATTTCCTCTATCATATCCTCCATGCCCAATATTCTGTCTTCTGTATCATGTATTTGTTTGCTTCTGTAGTTCCTGCTCAGTTACTCAGATTTTTATTTCCAGCATTCCCTTGCTTGGTGTCTTCTTCATTGCTTCAGCCTCAATTTTTAGGTCTTGAACTGTTACCTTCACCTGTTTGATTGCTTTTTCTTGGTTTTCTTGGCTTTTTTAAAGGGATTTGTTGATTTCTTCTAATTTTTGTTTGTCTTTTCCTCAATTTCTTTAAGGGAATTTTTCATTTCTCTTTAAAGGCCTCTATCACCTCCACAAAGTGATGTTTTAGGTTCTTTTCTTCTGCTTCTGTGTTGTGATTTTCATGTCTTGCTGTTGTACAACCACTAGGTTCTGGTGGTGCCATGTGGCTCTTTATGTTTTATGTATGCTTGCATTGGTGTCTACCAATCTCTTCCATGATCAGTGCAAGAGGTGTCTGTGTCTGAAGGAACTGCTCTTGATCCAGTCTGTGGAGGCTCAGTCTGTGTCTCAGGGGGCCATTCTTGATCCAACCTGCACTCTTGGGTCCAATCAGAACTCTTGGTACAATCAAGATGGTAGGTTCTGTGTCTCAGAGAACTGCTGAGGTCACAGGCATAGGTGTGGTTTTGGGCAGAGGGAGTTGATCTCATAGATTGCAAGGTCCCTTGGGAGATATAGGTAGGGAGATCTGCCCACTGGAGTCTTCCCTAGTGGCCTGCAATGGTGGGGTTAAGGGTACGTCAAGGGTTGTGCCCTGGGGCCTAGGTCCAAGAGTCAGGACTTTCTGGCTAGGAGAAAAGTCACTCACCTCTTGATCCAATCAGAGCTGGTGGAACCTGTGCCTTAGGGAGCCACTTAGGTCAAAGGGAGATGGGTGATTTTGGGTAGGGAGTGGTGTTGTAAATTGCAGTGTTTAATGTGCAGGTGTTTGTCCAGAGGCCTGCTCACAGGAGACTTCCCTACTGGCCTGCAACTTGGGAAGCAATGAATGAGGGTGGGAGGCATGAGTTGTGCCCCAGGACCTAGGTCCTAGAGACAGGATTCTCTGGCTGGGAGAAGAGTCAGTCATTCACCTCTTGGTACAATCAGAACTGGCAGATTGTGTGTCTCAGGTTGCCCCTGAGGTCACAGGGGGATGGGTGGGTTTGGGGGAGGGAGGGGGTCTTACAGATTGCAGGGTCCCTAGGAGGTATTGGTGGGGAGATCTGCCTGCCAGAGTCTTCCCTACTAGGCTGCAACTGGGGCAGCAATGGGTGGGGATGGTAGAGCATGGGTTCTGCCTTGGAGCTTAGGACTTAGGCAGGGAGAAGAGTCACTCACCTCCTGGTCCAGTCAGAGCTGGAGGATTCTGTTTTATATATTCCTCTCAACAAAATAAACCATAAAATAGTGTCCTAAATTTTTGAGCGATAAATTTAATCTTTTTGTGGACCATCTACTTCTTGTGCAGCATATCTTTTGTACCTGCCAAAATAATACTCTATGTGGAGGATAAAAATGTTCTATTTAGATGATGGCTCAAATTCATATAGTCACAATTAACTTTCTCTTTTCTCAGCTTGGTTACCTTATAATTTCAGGGTTGTCTGGCCATATAACATATCCTGTTTAATGGGTTTACTTCTGTTGTAAAATTTCCTTACAACTTTCTTAGCTATTAAACTTTGAATACTATGCCATTATGTCTAGGTTCTTTTGGTCATGCCCTTATTCTAGTAGAAGTCTAGATTATTTCTGCCTACAATATTTTATCATTCATGCTTAGTCCCTGTAGGTTTTGAAATGCACTGTAATTCTCACTGATGCTTCAATATGTATGAGTAAATATTTCCTTTGAAAACGATAAGCATTATAAGTATGAAGAATATTTCCAAGCCTTTGTTCATTTCTCAACTTTTGCTCAACAGGAACAACATTCAATGATTATAATGATTACAGCAAGGGTATTGACTGTAACTCATTAAGTATTCAAAGCCAGAGAATTCATACAAGGGAGAAACCCTACCAGTGTAAAGAATGTGGTAAGGGCCTTAGTTCTTATAAAACACTTTCCATACACCAAAGACTTCATACTGGAGACAAACCCTATATGTGTAAAGAATGTCATAAGACCTTCAATACTCGCTCTTCACTTTTTATACACCAGAAAAATCATACTGATGAAAAAACCCACAAGTGTGAAGAATGTGGCAAATTATTTTATTATCCTTCAATGCTGAAGCAACATCAAAGAATTCATTCTGGAGAGAAACCCTACAAGTGTGAAGAATGTGGCAAAGCTTTTTATGAATCTTCAATGCTG